TGTAAGTGGGGATCACATGATCCCAGGGACGGTGCAACCTTTGCAAACACATATTCATACCCCTGAGCCGGTGAGATTTGAACCGCTGAACTGCAGTCAGCTGAAGTAGCCTGCAGTGCTGCATTTAACCACTGCGCCACCTGGCTCAGCATTTACCTCCACGGAAATTGTGAATGTTGGTTTTGTTTTTAATATGTTGTCTTTGTCTCGTTTTCCCCCTTTCCCTTGTCTTTTGTGAGCTGCCCGGAGTCCTCCGGGAGTGGGTGGCATACAAGACAAACAAACAAACAAATAAATAAATACAAATACAAATAGATCTAAATCTTGCTCTCTATAGTATAGTACAGTCACGCTGAAATACATTTTGTCCTTTTTCATGGGAAGGAAATGTAGGACAGATTCTATGGTTGATTAGCAGACATCTTTGTTTTCTGAACTTTACTATCCTGATCATTTATTATGTGAATGGTTTCTCCATCAACCTGAAATCATTATCTTACCATTAGTTTTGAAGCACTAGATATTCATCACTCACTAAAATGCACAAAAACTACTGGTTAATTCTAGAAAATAGAGTGACAGGTATGTGAATCAATACCATCTCTTTTTTTCTCATGCCTTATTGGGTAATTAAAAGGCATATTTTGAGCTATGGCCAACATTACATGGATTTTTGGTTGTGCAATAGAAATACTTTTCAATCTCTTTTTCTCCCTGGCCACACTTTATATCTGTTGTGAGGAGTACTTAAATCTACTTGAGTAGATATAGGGTTGCACAGGGATTTACAGCACGATAATGGAATTTCTTCCACTGTTAGATGGCTTTTTAATGGCAGATACAATTAGATACAGCCTATTGTTTCTCACCGTATCTAGAATTCAAATGGGTAGATTTACTTTTTTTTAACACTCTTGTTGTTGCTTATTTTCTTAGCCTACATCTACCCACCCTCCAGCCCTTGAAAACTATTCCCAACTGCTACTTGAATGATGCCATCAAATGTTACACATGGCTGCATGCCATTTTGTCTAAGATATTCTTGGGAATTTTTCAAAGTTTTGTGGAGATAAATGTTTTAAATCTCCTAAGTGATAACAATGAAGAAGTTAACATTTCCATCGCAAACTATTACATAGACCAGGGGTGTCAAACTTGATTTCATTGAGGGTTGCATCAGCGTTGCTTTTTACCTTGGGGGAGCAGGGAGTAGATATGGTATGGCCAGCTTGACATCACTCATGTTGAGGAACCTGTGGCGGCCTGAGCGCTCTGCCAGAGAAAACCGGCTCCTGAACTCCATTTTTGGTTGCAATGGCCTCCTGCAACCCTCCGGCAGTGAAAGTGGAGCATGGATGGCTCTCTTGAGCTCCATTTTCACTGGTAGATGCACTGTGGGCCAGTCCTTCGCTGTTTCCAGAGTGGCCCTGCAGGCCAGCTCTAAGCACCCCGCAAGCCAGATCCAGCCCCCGGACCTTGAGTTTGACACCCCTGACATAGACTTTACTTTGCCATAAAAAAACCAGAAATTATTGTTGGCCTTAAGCTTATCCATGAAATGACAACTATGACTCCATTGTCTTCTCTTTCTGCTTCTTTAGACTCTCTAAACTTTTCTTCAACCTTTTTTTCCTACCAATATTCTGTGATGTGCTGTTACGTCCCAAGAAAAAGAGATCTGAGGCTCTCACAAATAGCCAAACCCTGATTGAAACAGAAATGCTTCTAGGTTCAGAAGGAAGTTTGATAATCATTTGTTCCTAAGTTGGTGTTCCATTATGGGGAAAAAACACACAAGTACAGATAGTCCTAAACTTGCAATAGTTCATTTAGTGATCATTCAAAGTAACAGTGGCACTGAAAAATGTGACTTAGAACCATGTTTCACATTTACAACTATTGTAGCATCCCCATGGCCATGTGATCAAAATTCAGATGTTTGGCAACCTATTCATAATTATGATGGTTGCAGTGTCCCAATGTCATGTGATCGCCTTTTGTAACCTTGAGACAAGCAAAGTTTAATGGGAAATCTAGATTCACTTAACCATGTTATTAACTTAACAAGTTCACCTATTAACTTAATAATTGTGGCAAGAAAAGTCATAAAATGGGGCAAAACTCATTTAATAACATAAATGTTGGGCTCAGTTGTGGTCATAAGTAAAGGACTACCTGTATACCAGAGAGAGAAATTCAATATTGTGGGGTTTTTCCCCCTTTTCCTCATAAGCCAGGATTAATTTAACCATGAACTCAATTGTCATCACTTTACTAGGGCCTGTCTACATTTATAGCAAATGTTAGATTGCTTTCTTTTACTTTATCTTTAGGGGACTTACTAGGTAGATGCTATGATGCTACTATACCTGCTGATGTGGACACTGTTAGTAACTTGGCCTATATCAAGTTTGTCACTGATGAATCCATCAATGCTCAAGGCTTCAGGTTGCATTTTGCTGCCAGTGCTGACGGTAAAATATAACCTCTTTACACATTTCTATACATATCAAATTTCTTTTATATGCAAAGTTTCATTTGCTGCAGAAAAAGGGATAAAGTACAGTTTGGGGAGTTCTGAATTTGTATGCTATCTGAATTTTTTTCATTATTGTTTCATAATAGTGACTATATATTCCTGAAATGTGATTACCATACTAGTTGCTGTCATATATCAAATAAAAGAGTATGTATACTGTAGTAGAAGATACAGCAATATAACTGAGTTTTACAATATAGCTTTTAAATGAAGTGAAGAGAGCAATTTCAATATTCTTTATTTTCTGTCCTGAGTATCACTGTAACTTCTTTGTTCCATTAAAAAAAAACTTAAAGCCAAAAAAATTGATGTGAGGAGATCTCTTTTTTAACATAATTCCAGAGCATGGAGGTGAACTTAGTGGTACTGTGGGAACATTGTCCTTTCCCAACTACCCGAATCATTCCCTGCACAAATTAAAATGTGAATGGAGAATTCTGTTGCCATTTGGATTACCCTCAACATCAATGACTTGAATTTTGGATCCAGCAAGAACTGTGGCTTGAACTATTTGGCAGTAAGTACATTATTTAGAATTTGAAAAAAGTGTGTACTAGAGCCAGATAGCGCTGGCTCTTTGGCATTGAAACAGATATGAGCACAGCTCCCTATAGTCAGGAACGACTAGCACATATATGTGAGGGGAACCTTTATCTTTACCTTATGTTCAGACAGTTTTGTTATTTTGTTTTCATTTCAAACAAAATTGACACATGAATTTAAATAGCAAATTCAGAATGAATTTAAATGGTAACACTTCTGACAATTTTTCCAGTGATATCTAAAAACATAATTCTTTTGCAGAGCTTGAGGAAGAATGGGATGTAGATGTAGTATGGCAGTGAGTTTATGATTTACCAATGATTTTTAGAATTTAGGCAATCTATGAAAAATACTGATCATCAATACAAATGGAAAAAGTGATGGGCCCACAGTCATCCAGTAGACTTTGGGTCTAAGTTGAGACCAGAATTCATTGTCTCCCAGTTTCTACCTTGATGCCCTTAACTATACCAAACTGGCTCTGTAATATAATTGTATTCAATACAATTTTTTTTAAATATTACTTTTTATTATTTTGGTATTACTATTAAGTTGTTAGAAAATGATATAAGTATTGCCTTGGGAGGTAATCCTGGAAGAAGACTATAATTTGACATTATTAAAGCAAATACATATATAACTGCGATTAATATCTGAGAAGATGTTCTACATATTGTGACTCCCTTCCCTAGGAGAATTCTGAATCAGGACTGATGTTGGAAATATCCTTCCATAAATGTCTAACTTCACAGTCCAAAACCACTTGTATGATTCTCAGGTACAGTGATGGCAAAACCAAGTGCCAAAACCCAAAACCTGGAACCTGGAAAAGGAGCTGCCTAGGGCACATGTGCGTGCCTGAAAATGAACTTCTGCTTTCTGGCGCGTTCATGTGCACTGGCCAGCTAGTCTTTCAGGTTTCTGGTGTGCATGTGCACGCAACAATCAGCTGGCCAGTATGCAGGCTCATACTGGAAAATGGAAGACCAGCTATTCCAGTTTCCATCACTGCAACATGCACAAAGGCCAGCTGATCATCATGCACACCAGAAACCTGGAAGAGGGACGGGCAACACCATGCATGCCAGATGTCATGGCTCCGCATGCCACTTCAGGTACCCGTGTCATAGGTTTGCCATCATGGCTCTTATCTGTGGCTCTTCCACCTGTTTTCTAAGGTCCTTCCCACATGTACATACACCTACTAAGGTTTTAATATTGATGATTTTTTATTACAAAATTATCTCGAAGTTATATGACATTGGTACATCTACATATCTCTTGAGTATGCATTCATCTTTCTTCAAATATCTCACATTTCATTTTAGCCAATGGTGATGTGAAACAAGCTGAAAGAGGAATTATTTCAAGTCCAAACTACCCACATCCTTACAATAGTTCTACTCATTGTTCCTGGCTCTTGATAGCACCAGAGAGACATACCTTTTGCATCTTGGAGCGAAGGGAAAGGACGCGACAAGCGGGTATGC